GAGCAGATTTTTTATGTAATTCAGGATATTAACCATACTTAATCTACCTAGTTGTCATGGCTATATTAGTTATAGCCTAATTCGAACCCGTAACACATGAACTGAAAGTCGAGTACTTAGGCCTGTGACCCAATGAAAAAAATGACAAGTTGACAGTGGTTAGTTGTTTAGCTAGTTGAAAATTGCTGACATTTTCATGGTTGTACTCAAGGTTATCTACCGACAGGATAATAATGAGCATACTGTAATGGTTAAGGTGGTGTAACTTAGGTCAGCCGTTCGAGTTGGCACACTCCATGCAGTACACAAAGCATGAGAAGAGAGAGCAGAGAGGGATTCAAAAGAGAGATAATAAACAGAAGTGTAGGTGAGGGAAAAAAAACAATAGACTTTTATTGGAAATTACAAATCCCTAAAAGTGAGTGCATCTGACCCACTGAGAACAACTTTAAGCCATATCACTACTTGTCTCCATTTACTGGTTCTTAACGTCCAGATGGCAGTCTACATCTCCCTATGTGACTGGCTTAAACTAACTGTTATGGATTTCATTGACTGATGAAGCCATGTTTTGCTTTGATTACCACTAGCTCTTTACCAGCCTGATCCATCCTATGTCTGTTAACATTGCCCATTGTTCAGAAAGGCGATGGCTAGCCATACGTAACACACATCCTAATCATCTCAATCTATGTAGAGGGAAGAGATCAAGAAGTTCAGCAAAGATGGCGATCTTTTCGGTGATTTCATTCTCAAAAGCAGCTGTACAATCGCATTTATATAGATTATTTTACATGGATACAATTATTATTTATTTAATTCCACATAGTAACGAAGGAGATAATAATTTTCAACTTGATATGAAAGTTTGAAGGTACGAATATAGATTACAAGGGGCTTAGAGACAAGACTGCATAGGATTAGAAAACAGTTACAACGTATACGAAATTAATATTTGATAACTGGAGAAACAATTTTATAAGGCGAATAAAAGGTGATAGTTATTTCCAACTTGATATGAATTACAAGAGGCTTAGAAACAAAAGTTACACAGGGATAGAACGAATTACTGGCGTGAACAAAATGAGCATGGAAACAAATTGAAATCAAAGTTTTTCAACTTGAAATGTAAGTTAGGAGGTGTGAATATAGATTATAAGAGGCATAGAAACAAAAAATTACACAGGATTAGAATATAATTGTAAAATGGTTACTCTAAACGGATTACAAGTGTGATCAGGAGGAACAAACTTAAAATAACTGATTTTATAACTGAAAAAATGAAGACGAAGAGAGAAAATTACGCAAACAAAACAAAAAAAACTGAAGGATAAGGGAACGTACCGAACTAGGTCCACGGTAGTTGTAAAGGCTAACTAGTTTCTTTCGAACACATAGTTCTGGCTTTTCGACGCATATGGCGAAAACTTCCGCAGTACAAAGAAGTCGGAAGCCCACTGCCTTTGGTAGATTTTTTTTTACTTTGTAAATGATTCTGAATGATGAGTCAGTTGAGATACTGTTACAGGTATTGACGAGGTGTTTAGTTATTGCGCTTCTCTTTGCAGCCATGCTGGATGATGTTCTCTAACACGTTTTGATAAACCCGCATAGAACGACTTATGTACCTAGCTCCACAACCTTGTTGGCTGATTTTTCATCGTCACCTAACACTCCACGTCTAACATCAATGTTATACCATCTAAAATGGGAAGTAAAACCGAGGCACCTATAATCAAAAACAGTTAGCCTTTTCATGCCTTCCACTTTTAGCGGTCTCATCTCAAAGCCGTAAAGAAGGATAGAGCGAACTATTGAGCACTAGACACGTCCTTTGGTCGACAGCTAGATATCACGTCAACTAAGTCAGAAGATGGCGTAAGTTAGTAATGGAAACTATGTATTTTGATTGGACACTAGTAACTAGTGTGACCTGTCTAGTCCTTTCTTTGGTGCAAGCTGAATTCTATCAGTCAGGTTTGCAATGTGACCACCATTCTAGGTAGCTTGCCATCATGGTGGACATTGATTTATTGATGTTAGATAGTTGGGAGCAATCGTCAGGAAGCCTTGCTCAACCTAGGTTGCGCGCTAGTTGGCACTCACTGGTCAGCAAGGCGTATCTGCAACCTTGAAGGAATTCATGTCCCTTCTGTGATTCGAACCCTAACTACCTAACTTAGCTATTGTTATGATATATAAAGCCCATTTCGGTGGATTTTTTTGTTCATTTCGATATAGTCTATTGAAATTCTTCTCATTTGTTTTGTTTTTTCAAGCCTAAATATTGATATTTTGCCATGTTCCTTTTTTTTGTCTACACAACAGCAAAATGTGCAGAACGCACACTTGATGAATATTTAGATGCAGCTATAGCTACTCGAAAGAAATCAGGACGAGTCACTCGTATTCAAGTAGAAAATATCTCTGATGAAAGCGTTACTGATGCTAGAGACGAGAAACAAGAAGTAGAAGAAGAAGAATTAACTTCAGCGCCTGCAATTCACAATTCACATTCTCTATCCTCTTCTTCTTCCGCTTCCTATGGCATTCAACCAAAACCATCAAGTGAAATTCGTCCATACCCGTCGAGAATTACATACTTTGCTGATCCTGAAAATCCAACGCCATCACTACCACCAGTGATGGCTTTACCGCCTAATGTTATTTATTTAGGCGGTTAAAAAGTTTTTTGTCTATGCAAGATTTATTTTTTATTGTTGTGCATTACATTACAATGCAATGTGCAATAATCGATTTTATTTTATTTCAACCTAATGTCTTTACTGTGATCCCTCCACCAACCACCCCCCCCCGTGGTCCCGTCGCGGACCTCCATCGTACCAGACTCTTGTCCTCTCTGGATGCTGATGAATTGATTTGCGTAATATACACCGTTATTTATGCTATCTCTTATTGGTATTGCTATTTGTTTCTACTTCTGTTGTGCCTTTTTTATTTATTTATTTATTTTTATTTTGTTTATTATTTACTTATCAGTTATTATTAATATTATCACTATATCTTTTTAGTATTCTAATCTATATTGTAATGTGAATACTACCTAACAGAGGGAGAGAGAGAGAGAAAAATGTGTGTACAGAATAACGCTTTGTTAATAATTCCTTAGATAAGAAATAAAAGAAAGATTCTTATATGCACATAAATTAGCTTCTTTTTTTTAAAAAAAAACATTTATTTATTTTCTCCTTGAATTTGTTTTTATATCGTTGGTATGTTCTTCTAGCATATATATTTTTTCGCTGGTCCTGGTGAGTGAGTCCTGTTTCTAAGGTACACATAACTGTATAGTTTGTTATTCCAATGGGGATGGATGTGCGTCGTTGGGTTTAAATACTGAACTTCCAGACATCTGATCTGGTTAGCACATGAGTTCAAAATCCCGGTTCCAGATGCATTAGACCCAGTGTGGTAGCCTGGACAAAGTCTTACGTAATAAGTGTATGTGTGTGTGTGCGTGGCGTATAGATAGTATGGTACATAAAAAATCTGTTCTAGGTAACTGGGTTCAAACTATCCAAACCATATGGAGTACTGGACAGCTGTTTCATCCTAGTTTGGGACTCTTCAGTAGTACTCACCTATCAGGTTTCGATTGAATTGGTAGAAGTTGGAATTTGTAGGCCATTGGGTCGGTTCCTAGTGACTGAATGATCTACGAGCTTGTGTTTTAACCAGAAGATCCTGGGTTAGAATCCCGCTTGATGCGTACTTCTAAAGGACGAAACACCTGGTTTTCCAATGATTGTGTAAATGATATCAGGTCATGATCAAGCTTAAAACAGTTTGAATTGTTAGTAATCGAAGTTGTGTGCTATGCTGTCGAATTCATATAAGTTGTATTTTGAGACTTTCACCTCTTTCACCAGTTGCGATTGAAGCCTAATGAGACTTCGAGCGTGAAACTGATATCCTTCAGATTGCTTTCGTAGTAGTGTAACAAGTTAGACTAAATTAGTCAATCATAATTATTTCTTATGGTCCAAATGTTTGTCTGAGTATAACACTCATGTATATTGATGGTGTCTAGGCGGTCAAACTTACAACCAGTGTGTCTCTGGGCTCAAATCCCATCCCACTTGCTGAGGTGTGTCTCATTGCCAATTGCAAATGCTTCATTTCCACATAGACAGCTCTGAATATTACTTTGATTTACGTCAGTTTTGCGAGTTTTGTCAAGCAGATAATCCAGTTGGATTACTGGTGCAATAAACCAGTGGATGCATTTGTACATTTTAACAACGTGGCTGATTGAAGCTTGGATTTGTTCATCTAAATAAAACTATATATGTCTTAGTTTCTTTCGTCTTGCGGTTCAGCTGGTCAACTCTACACGCCAGACCTTTTATTATTATTTCCTTTAATTCTTAGAGGAACGTAGGACTTCATCCACACGTCTCCATTGCATTCGGTTTTCTGCCAACTTTTTCACCTCGCTCCAAGTCCGCCCACACGCTTTCATCTCCTCTTCACATGAACTCCTCCAAGTCACGCTTGGACGGCCAACTCGTCGCTTCCCTTTCGGATTCCACTCGAGGGCTTGAGACCTTTGATACATCGGTGTAAATGCTAAATGTTTTACTAGTAGGATACAGGTTCGAGACCTGCTCCATTTAGTGATTTTTCGGGAACCAAATAACACTGGTGTGTATACCTAAGAGAGAATAGGCATGGCAAAATTATTTAGGCGATGGACTTGTTGAATAGTACTGGGTTTTATATGAACAATGGCTGGTACTTACATTTTTCCAGGTTTGAATTTTCTAGTACTATTTATTTCTGACCAGTATGTGGGATAGGCATCTGTGTGTGTTTGCCCTTCACTCCCTCTCTCTTGCCCTAAGTCACACTTGTAAACATTTTATTATTTTCCATTTATTTATAGGTTCACTTGGAGTTATTGAAATTTTCAATTATTTTAATAATAATAATACAATAACAAGTTGAAAGAAAACTTACAGTCTGTCATCCATCGACGAATGCCTAATTTAAAAGGATCGATAGAGAATTTACGTCGTCAGTTACGTGCCTTACGATTTAATTATGAAGTCAATTTTCAAGGGTATGTTTAAATTTTCTCTTTTTTGTTGGCTTTTCTGGTTTTATCCTCAGTGGTGTAAAATATAATTCTAGGCGAAGTTAAACTTACAGCGCCAAAATCTACCAATCAGCGGATGACCTTGAACGCACCAATCACATGAAAAAGGCTGTCTTTGAGCATAAAATACATGTATTTATAGAAATAATGTATAAAAACTGTATAGAAATATTACACAGGACGCCTGACTCCCAGTTTTCCTTAGGATTATCGATAAGGAAGTTAAGCCATTTATTCACCTAAATGACTGCAGATAACGTCCCTTTGGGACCTGTTAGTGACTCTGATTCTGTTCTTCAACCTTCCCCGAAATCTTTCTGTGGAATTGGTGCGGGTCCCTATAATAGGATCCATATAATCACCGGTGTGGTTCACTCTACGGTGAATATATTCCAGGGATGACAATGCGTTATATCCTTTCCACTCATCTGTGAGTATCATAGATCCTTGTTTCGCCAATCGAGTGATAATGCGCATTAAAGTAGTTGACTTTCTATCTGACATTCTCTCGACAAATCCTTTCCCTAAAGTGGCATCTTATAATCCATTCATCAGCCAAACGTTATTTGCCTTTTTACAACCACGGTTGTATTTCCTCTTTATTAGGACCGTTTCATCTCTGTACAATAAAAAAGTAGCTCTCTCCATCTTCCAAGATGCAATATCGCCGCAGTTCTGGTACGACTGAGCTGTTAAAACGAGGCTTTTTCAATCCCACATTTAAGCAGTACTGGAAAACTTGGTCAACACCAAATTTCAGACTTATTTCTTTTAGAGAAGGTATTTCACTCAAATTAAGCGGAATGAAAGCTTGAATTGACACCAAGGGGCTCATTGGTCCATTCAAGGTCATCAGTGCAGTTGCGCTTCGTTGGTAGGCACTGCTGCTTAAAGTTCAATTTGGCATGTATTAAGGAAGTTTATTTCATGTAACCTGCAGTGATTGATGCAGTGACAATAGCTAACTGGATGAGTTTTTTGAGCACAATTTATCGCTCATGATTATCTTTTGTTTACTCCTTTACATCCCGAGAAGTGTAACACAGAGCTTCGAGCTGGAGTTTTGAAGTTTCAGTAACAGTGATTTTTATTTTTATGAGATGGAGTTGCTAGCCTCATGCCCAACCATCTCTGTTTACCGGACTTACTACTGGCTTCGTGGGGTTTAGGAGTTCATTGGCTGGGGATCGAACTCTGGACCTCATGAGTGGCTGGTGGGCGTTCTACTGCTGAACCACTGACGCCACTCATGATTATATCAATATTTAATACATTTGCCCTGTTTTTATAGGCCAGTGTATTTAGTTAACTGTAGGCTGCTGTTTTTCTCATTCTCAGTTTACGAATTAGTTGGAACTTGGTACATTCTAACGCTCACGTCAGCTTGTCCAGGATTATAGTTATGATGGCACACCGTTGACCAATGGTTCCTGTTTCCCGTTCATGGAATGGAGTATGTCATAAAAAGCCCTTGACATATCGGCTAAACACACCACTAAATCCTCTATTTGTTCATTAGCTTGGTTGGGTATGGTAGTGTCCAGGGTAATATTTGCATCAAAATAACCAGAAACCCAACGTATAAGTTGACAAATTTAAAATTTAGGCGACGAAGAGGCGCAAACGCGCCAATGACCTTGAAATACTCAGTCAGCAAGTTAGTCAAACCAGGTAAATGACACCATATTCATGAAAAAGTTTACTTAATGAAGTATTATGATATTAAATGGAATTTTTTCTAACTTTTAGGTCAAGTTTGGGAAAAATTAAGGTTGGGTTTGGGATATTGACAGAATAGAGCTAAGTTAACCGAACGAGAGAGAGATGTTTGTGTTGATTTGACGTAGATTAGGGTTAGAATAAAGACAGAGTAAGGCTAGTGTTAGAAGACAAAATTAACCCTTCAGCACTACGTCTTTTTCCAAGGTCATTAGTGAGTTCGAACCTCTTCGGCGCATAATGTTTAGCTTCACCTATGAGATTATAGAGAAAGGCCCACAGATTTGGTAGCAATCTCAAGAGGAAATGAGAAGGATATTACTTTTCAGTATGACGACAGTTGAGGTTAATCACAGGCGTTCTAGAATGCTTTACACGTCTGCATTTGACTCTGTACCTAGGTTGTCTCTTGCTAAGTAAGCTTGCTGCAACACAGGCTGAGAGCTGGACAAATAAATGGCTGCATTCCTTTTTTTCTGATAGGAAGCAGTACACCATCTACAATGGAAAGTCCTCCACTACCTCACTTACTTTAGTTGGTGTTCCTCAAGGTGCTGTTCTTTCTCCTTTTCTGTTTTCTTTTTTCTTACATGACTCGCCCCATTTTGATGTAGCCACTTTTGTTGAGTATGCCGATGACCTCTCTGTTTCTATGCCTGTCAACTCCAGTCAGGTTGTTCCAAATTAAATAACTTTCTGTCGGAAATTAGTCAGTGGTCCTCTTCAAACGGTCTTAAGCTGAATCCGTCTAAATGTCAGGTAGTCAATTTCACTTTTAGACGTAAACGTGACCTACAACAACTAGTTAACTCACATGGCCCCACTATCATTGACGGCATAGAGGTTGAAAATACATCTAATGTCAAGTATCTTGGGTTGAGTATTTCCACCGATCTTCCCTGGTCCTCCGACATCCTGCTAGTTACTACAAAGACGTTTCGCTTAACGTTCTACGTTAGGAAATTTAGGCAGTCTGGCATAAAGCAGTCTTTGCTTTCTCAGTTTGTCAATTCTTGTATTCTACCCATCCCCCTTTACTGCTCCCCATTTATCTTTCCTGGACTACTTAAGAAAGACTTTCCCTGCTGAGAAGAGCACTAAAAGCCGTTAGTAGGGCAAGTGGGATATCGCTAAACCAACTGGTTAACACTATTGTGGATAGACATATAATGTCATGTAAGAAACTAGCTAATACAATGTTGTCAGACCCCGAGAATCCTCTCTATACTCAGCTCTCTCCTTGCATTTCATCTGGTAGAACTAAAAGCAGCTATAGGAGGCTATATGCTAGGACTACCAAGTACAAAAACTCCACAAAACCATATCTGGCACAGCTGTTATGTGATGAGAAATCCGTTAGGTATGACACGATCAACTTACTGTGGCACTCTAACAAATAGTCCCATTAGTTTTTGTTTTCTTTTCTTCGTTACTATTACACTGTTGTTCACATCTTCTATTACACACTAATTTTATATTTCATATCCTGTGATGCATTGTTTAAAATGTAAACGCAACGCTGTTCTTTTTATTTTTTTATCTTTTTTGGGTGTTGCTTTTTGATTTTAAAATCTTATAAAATTTATGAGGAAATTAGAGGCAATATATTGTAATGCACGCTGAAAATTCCATACCTGTACCACAAATACTGTTTAGAGTAAAGGTATTATTATTATTATTATTAAAACTAGTATTCGGTCATGACATGGTTAGTATTTTTTTATGCTTTCCTTTTTTTAAAGGTTTTACGTTTCGTTTTTTCAGTGTTTGCTCACTTGGCTTAGTCAAATTGCCTTATCACATCAGTTAAGTAGTACTATTTTCTATGGATTTTTTTTTGCTTTCCTTTTGAGACGATATGTTTTACATAAATCTTTATTTTTTAGGATGATATTGGGACAATCATCTGCATTTGTAGAATTTTATCGACATTTATTATGTGATTACAATACTCATCTTACTAGTCATTTAGTTGAACGTGGATTTGGAGTGCTTGGTATGACTTTTAATATTTTTTTTAGCTTTTCTAATTTATATCTTATTATTACTATATGTATTACAAGATGAATACTGTTCATTCTTCTCTATGCTTTACTAAGAGCTTATATATTTTTTTACACATATTACTTATTCGAATTCATAAACACAGTGCAGTTATATAGATAAGATGAATTTAGCTTATTAGAACTCTGTTTGATAGTTAGTGGCAACTGGTTATCAGCCCTAGACTTGTGTTTCATGCTTGCTGTCACTCTTCAGCAGGATGTATCTATCATCTACGTCTAGGTTTTCCTGAACATTGTGTCTATTCATACAACATCATTTATAAGTAAAGCACAACTAGTGATTAACGTCTTAGCATGATGAAGATTTTATTGACTTAACCGATAGAATTCGGTTAGAATTAATGACTAGGTAACACAAGGCTAGTTACATCATTTGTGACTGCTAGAGACTAACTAGTCATTAGATGCACATGAACACAGTAGGAAGGTAATTATTCTAGGCTCTCTGAATTCTGGTTCAAATTAGTTGAGATAGCACAAATCAATGGAATTAGGAACATTTGTTATCGATATGGCCAGAGATGCTTTCCACTAAGGTTAAACATATTTAGATGTATGTAGAGGCTGTTTATTTATTTATTTAAACGCTGTAAAAACTTGGTACAATATGGCATCAAGAAGGATGCGCCACACAGTAATAATAAAACAACATAGATCAAAAGTAAAAAATATAAGTGGAGGACTTCATATGGAAGGAAAACAATCATGCTTAACAAGTTCAAACAGTACTCGTCAACTATCATCGGTAAGGGAAGAAAGAAGCAAATCGCAACACCTTCGCCATTGATTACCATTTTTGGCCATATCCGATAACGTTTTGAGCTATCTCGCGGATCCCAACCAGGGAGTCGTGATGAACTAACCGATGCTAATCTAGGACAAACATTCTTCATCCCACGACTGCACGTCATGGACTGACCACCCCTCCGCCTTTTCCATCCCGTCCCAGGGTTGACCAGCGAACAGAGACCTGTACGGAAGCCTCTGGGATGACATTCGGAGCACATGTCCAAGCCACCGAAGCCGGTGTTTCCAGATGACGACACTCAATGAACGGTGATCTCCACTGTGTTCAAACACACGCCGCCTAACCTCAGAATTACTCACTTGATGATGTTATCGAACGTAAGCAATCCTGCGGAGACAGCGATGATTGAATATGCAGAGTCGCCGCACATCCTCAGCTCGGAGAGGCCAGGTTTCACAGGCGTGGAGCGGCGCAGCCCGCACCGAAGCATTGCACACCCGACCTTTGACAGCCAGGCTAACGTCGCGACGGCGCCAGAGGTGGCTCAATTTGATGTATGCCACCCTAGCCTTCATTATACGGTTGGATTTCTCATCCGTCACCCTTTCGCCATCACTCACACAACTACCCAGATACACAAACTTATCAACAACTTCAAGAGGTTCACCCGCAAGAGTGAGTGCAGGTACAGGCTCCTGTCAATCTTGTAACAGGCTGTTACGTAATGTAGTAGTGCAATGGGGAGGTAGAAGCGAAAAGAAGTGAATTCGAATCGAAATAAGCAGTAACTGTCTTTAGACATAATCCCAATGAAAGTGACTAAGACTGAACTAAAGCTTTCTCGGTGAAAAGCTGTCTCTGCTGTTATTCCTTTCTACGTGCTTACTCTCACAAATGTGTACTTACGGGTAAATACAGTCAGAGTGGAAAAATAAACAGATTATTCCATCAGTTCGTTGATACAGTTAATTATTGAGCTGAAGCTAAAGATGCTTTGTGTTTTGTGCTAAGAAAGAACAGTTGATTCAGCTTGTTTTTATGAAGAAGTACTCCAGACTGTTGTAATATATGGATTTCGATTATTTACTCTTTAAAGCAAAGTATAAATAAAAATTGAGTGAGAATAGTCAAAGGTCCACTGACCCATAATGAAATCGAACTCACTGAACTTCTGGAAATCTCCATTTAATCAATCATCGTCTTGTTTATATCAACTCCTGTAGCTTGTACAAATTTATATTCACTTTCTGGGCAAATACATAAGAAGAAGTGAGTTGAGGACATATTCTAAAAATCCTTCATCTGAAAGGAACGATTTCATTTACAAACTGCAAGCATCAAGTGCTTGGCTGGCATAAGACAAATATTTGAGTGGATTATATATCTGATAGGGAGACTATCTGAAGTAGGTTTGAGTCGATATTGATGTAATTAGTGGCGATTGAAGGTGAATTAAAAATCTACGCTTTAGCAGGATTAAAGCCAACCGAGTTGTGAGAATTAATTGATAAAATGGTCGTTATCTCCTTGTGGTCATCATGGGTAATGTTCATCTGTGTATTAAAGAAAGGTGCTTACTTAATTATCAACTTGATTGATTGATTCATTATGTTACAACGAAAAGCTCAGAGAAGCCTTTGAAGGGAAGATAAGAGTACGATGGGGCTGTCTACTATCGCCGATGATATTCATGGTGGTAATGGACTGAATCATGTGGCAGACTTGTGGGAAACGATAAGATAGGGCATACATTGGATGGACAGCGAGATTTTAAAAGATCTGAACTTCTCAGACGATTTGTATCTAATATCACATAAATTGGAAGATCTACAGGTGAAAACTAACAAGTCGACAGAAGAAGCCTCAAAGACAGGAGTTCAGGTGAAAATACAGAAGACAGAGATGATCAAGTTACCCAATCAACAACAACAAGAACAAGAATCAACCAGCATCAATAGGAGAAATCTAAAAGAAGTCACCGGTTTCAGTTATCTACATGAAATCGTTTCAACTACAGGCGCGGACACGCGTGAGTATGTCAAAGCCAGCCGGGATCGAAAATTATAAGACAGTCTCTCATTACATTGAAATTAGTGTGTGAATCTGCTTCATTCACTCTGCAAGACTCGGATTTTCAATACTAATGTCAAAGTCAGTCAATGCTTCTACACGGTTCAGAGACTTGGCACACACTCGTCAACAAAAGCATGTTCAATAGGCTACTGCAGACTTTCATCAATAAATACCTTCGATCGAGGATCATATGGCCAGTCGGAAAGAATTAGCAACAAGGAACTCTCTGCCAATGCATGAATCAAGAATCTATTGCTCAATAAATATAGGGAAGGAAGTGGAGATGGATTATGTACACCTTGAGGAGACCATTAAGTGACATCACGTGCCAGGTTCTCGAGTAGGCAACGACGAAGTTGGGCATGAGTCTGAGAGTGACATGCAGGGGGATTCTTGTTAGGAGAAAAAAGGATGAAATGGCAGTGTGCTGTTGATGGTCTATCTATCTTTCACTCAAAACACAAGAGTACAATAATAATGATAATAACAACAGTACCATATATGTATTTACTTTCTATGTTCTGAAATTTAATATTATGTCTCAATCTTAAATTAATTTTATTTATGTGTGATTTCTTTTTTATTCGTCTTCTTTTTTCTTTTAGGCACAAGTGACAATAAATTTATGGAGGTATTTTATCGTATACTTCGTGATGTAATCAGCTATCGTTCACCGATTACTATAGCACAATTTTTTATGAATAATTTTGCTGAACGTAAAATAGAAATGGCTACAACTGTTGCCCTACTTATAGGCTCATTAATTAAACGTTCATTCACTACCACTACCACCAGTAGTACTAGTAATCGAGGCAAAACATCTTCATTACAAACTAATCATCGGCTTCTATCATCATCATCTAAATCGAATTATCAGTCTACTGTTACCACTACTTTTAATACTCCTCAAATACCCTTGATACTTCCTACAACTATATACAATCGATCAGTTGTTGAAAAGAATGTTGACATTACACCTATTCTATCTACAAATCATATTATACATTCCAATGATTCCAAAGATTATACAATCTATGGTGACTTACCGAATCATGAAAATGAACAAGCTAAGGAGAATGGTGAAAAATCTGCTCTGTCTGAATTTTTTCCACAAGAATCTATTAATCGCTATGATTTAATGAATCGACCGAATGTGAAAATAACAAGTTTATCAAAGACAGGTTCTTCAGTAAGTTTTTAATTTGAATTAAACTATTCGCCTGTGTCTGTGTATTTGTGTGTGTGCATCTCTGTGTCTTAAGTGCGCACACTTATATGGTTCAGGTAATTGAAGGACTTTTGAGTGGTACATACACGCGTATCGTCACACCTTTGAGTTTGTATAATTTCTTACATTCTATTCAGGAGAAAGCAGTAATACGTTAACGAATGGAGAATCTAAATCATGTCGTAAATGGACTACTTGAGAGCATTTCCAAAAGCATCAACTTAGTGAAGTTAAAATGTGATATTTTGAATTAATTATATTCTCCAAGCAGATCGATTTAGTTGGGAAGCTTTTGTCGTCCTTCTGGACAACATTTTCAGCGCATGTTTTAGTGTAAAATAAATTCATTTGAATTCTCCAAGAATGTTGTAATTGTGTCTCCTGGCTACCATCTTCGTGACTGGTAGTTGATTTACATCTCTATCGATCATTCTTATTGAACAAAGAATATTCTTTCCGATAACTTCGTCATTAGTTTCTGCAGTTATATATACATGTCAGTGAGTGAATCAGTGTTATTAACAACACTAATGTTGTTTAAATAACATCAAATCAATAATATTGATATGAATGGATTACAGTTCAATAGCATCAACATAACACCACACATTGAATATCAGAAAAATTAGGAAAGATAATAATACAAATGAATAAATTTCTAGTCTCTACTGAAGGCGGGCCAGGGCAGTAGTAGTAGCTGAACTTGCTTCTTTTGCACACAAAGCACTGGTTGTTTCACGCGAATCGCGATAGCCTCTGCTGTTTAGAGTATTCGTTACCTGGATATTCTTGGCAATTTATTTGTCAGCCGGTAGATCATAGAGAAAGATTCTTCAATGCTGGGTTTGTGGCCGGTTGGTTTGAACCATGTGGTCTAATATCGAACTCTTGATGGTTTTTACTACACCTTTACTTAGCCATACTGAGAGATGTTCCTGAGCGAGCACGAAAAATCAAGTCCCTAGAGCAACAGCCAACATAACTCGTTCCACAAGCGCAGTTCAATCGGTAGATACAATTTGAAGTGGCTAGTTTAGGTACTTCATCTTCCAATCGAGGGATCATCATCTATCGTGTGGAAAATAAGACTTGTAGTTTGCTAGCATTAAAAGTTGTTTGAGGTGATTTTCTTAACTTGTTAGTAATTATTTCGCTAGGTATGTCACCGATGAATTGCAGTCGTATATATAAAGGCTTCTTGTTTACGGATAGCGAGTAGTCGTTTTCGGCTTTCTTTGTCATGTGTTTCTTGATAAATTTGTCGAGACGACGAAAGCTTCCCAACTAAATCGACCAGTTCGGAGAACACAACTAATTCAAACTCATCCACGTGGGCTATAAATTTTCTCTGTTATTTCAAGACTGGTGATATAATATCGAGGGCAATGTGCTGAAGTCTTTTATTTTTCAATACTTGGTGCTTAAATCGTAATATATGCTTGTCTTAAAAGAAATCTTTATGTGGCGAAAACGTTTAGTCTAAACTGGAAGGCATTGAAGTTATATTGACATAATTTTCAATGTTCAGTGTACATCTCTTGCTCTGTTTGTCCTTGAAAGTGAAGCATTTCAAGTTGCCACACTCCATGTAGCACATAAAGAAAAAAATTCAAAAGAACAGGCGAAAGAATAGTAACATGGAGAAACATGACAATTGAACGGATCCGGGAGAGTACAAAGACTGAATGTATTTGCGTCATTGAAAACGACTTTGAACCATATCATTGACATTCTCAAGCCAACGGTTCTTAACGCGATCCGAGGACTCAGAAAGCTACTCAAACACAAACTGACAAAAAGTCTTCACAACGACCGTGAACAGTTGTGGGTGACAAAAGCGAAATAGACTTTAAAGGCATCAGCGATAGGTAATACCAAACAACTATTTAGGCTTATCAGAGAAACAGGTGGTAAAAGGCAAATGATAAGTGAAGCGATCTCCGAGAAAAATAGCACCATGATTGGCTTTCAAGATAGACGACTGGAACGTTGAAAAGAACACTTTGAGGAGCAATTCAACTGGCCTACAGCCACGCTCAACTTACTGGGCGACCAACATCTCCATGAATGGGAACATAAACACAGGTCCTCTGTCCCTAACTGAGGTTACAAAAGTTGTCACTAGTCTGAAACGAGGCAAAGCTGGGGGACCTGATGGGATGACTTCAGAGGTGATGTTTAAGGACAGTGGAGATAATTTACTCCGTGGAGAGTGGCCACTCGAACTATGTTCTACGTTGAAACCAGTCAGTTAGTTTTCATCCTGACACAACATTAAAAAAATGATTTGTTTATTTCTTATCAACGACCCTTGTATGTTTGTTTTTGTTCTCTGTAGTACGGTGATACTAATACCCGTGATGAATGTGATCATCAACTGCCTACCTCTACACTGAAAAGTATGAATGATCAATGCCAACATTCATATCATCAGAATCAGCATCAGCCTCATTTAAGTATTTCTGAAAATAACAATCTCTATACTACTAATAAATGTGCAAAATTATCTAATCACAAGTGTACACAGCCAAGTGCTACCACGACTGTCCCTGGTGTCCCTGTTGGTGCTAGAAGTAGAAGTATCAGTAACAATAGAACCAATCACACATCCGCATTTCCGTCTACAAAATTATCCTTTAATAATAATGATTTACTGCATCATTCAAAACAATTTATTAAGAAAGATTATACTCATGGATTATCTAGTGCAGCGACGTCAACTGGTGCCACGATAACACCAACGTCTACATTACTTCCAAAGCATCCTAATAGTCAATCAATAAATCATTATAATCCGTCTAATGAATCTTCTACTTACATTAATCCTGAAAGTATTCATAATATAATTAATTCATTAGATCAGCTGTCTGATAAAGTTGATTGTATGCTAGAACGTATGAATAAATTAGAGGATAAATTAACAAATGTTGATATAGACTGTAACACGTATAATCGATCAAAAACTTATGATGATAGCGGAGCAGGGGGAAGGGTGAGTTTTGTCTGCTTTGTGTTTCTGTTTCTTCGTTTTTTTTTTGCTTCTTCATCTCATTGCGTTCCGAGTAAAACAACCTAGGAGTTCAGGCTTTTTCTAGTTTTTTATTCGCGGTGATGTCGTTGTTAGCCCCAAGCTCTGCCTCCACCTTTCGTCTTCTCAAGGTTAACTAGTGTTGTTGACCTCTTAAAACTAGAAGAGATTTAAGAGGAAGCACGTCAGCTAGAAGTCAAATCTAGACATCCCTGCGTAACTGGTGACTATTTTACTAATGAACTACCGACTGTTTTTTTGTAGAGAAACTTAGAGAATAGTAATCAATACCAGCAACCCACTTCTAGTGGCTTTTATCGAAAACAGAAAAACACTAATTCATTAGAAAGCTGCATAAGACATAAAATAACTCACATACCACATCTGCAGAACGCAAACTGCGATTGCTTCTGCTAATTCAAACTTTCCACCTCCCACTAGACCATCCAGAACCGACTAAAAAAGAATCCTAAAAACAAGAACGAAACCTTATACAGTCGTTGTTCGGATCGCAAAACGTCTCGTGCAGTACGCTTCGAAATCGATCCAAGGAAAAGAAGATGTTAAAAAATGTTGCACATTTTCCAAGGGGAAGTATTGTGGTGTTCTGATCAAGAGCAGCCTGGAAAAAAAAACATACAGGTAATCAACATATCGATATGTTAGCGCTCATTACGCCTAAGTCCTTCACCAGGAAATATTCGTTTATGCTTGTCTTATCACATTCATATGTCATTCATTGGCCACGTATGTATGTGCATGCATATAATTGTTTTCTTTTGTCTCAATGTGTTCTCACTGAAGTAGCGGCTAAGAGGTGGTCGGTTGGCTGTTGTATACGTTGTTGGCGATACTACTACTCTTGATTACCACCTCTCTATCATCATCTCGGCGTCCCTATCTATTTCAATTTAACCCTTTTGCATAATATCATATTGACGATGAGTGATTTATTATGAAAATGGACCATCCATCACACTTGGAGAAGTTAAAGATGTGTTAAAGGTGCTTGCTTACTGGTCTACTGATCTCAACCATCCCCTACTCATTCATTCTTCTCCAGCCAATGATAATATTGGAAGTAGCACGGGGTGGGGTTTCTAGCCTCACGACTAACCTCCGGTTAAGGAAGGTAAAGAAGTGCGCCGACCGGGACTTGAATCCCCGACCACGTGCATGGTCGATCAGCACTCTACCACCGACATACTGGGCTATTAGCCACATATAATTTTTATTTTTTGATTACAGCTTGCTTCCACACTGTATTTTTGGTAAAAGTATGGAATTTTCAGCATGGATATCGGTAGCTCAAATTTTGTAGGCCGACCATAGATATCAGGTGTGCATCGGCAGGTGATCGAACCTCGGACCATGTGCATGGTCGGCGAGAGTCCTAACCACTGTGTCACCGACGCATGTAAGGGCTAGTAGTGGTACTACCTGACTGCCTGAACCTCTCAGTAGGTGATAGTGCTGTGGGACTCGAATCTGTGACCCCCCTAGTTGTTGAGAGTCAAAGACCTAGACAAGTGAGTCACAGCTCCACTTATTTGTTTTTTTTATGGTTAAAATAATAAAACAGTTTCCGTGCTTTTTTATTTATGTTTGGTTTTTACCCCAGCCCCGTTATGCTTTTTTATTGATTTTTTCTAGCCTACATATGATATAAATCGACGTAACTTGAATCTAGGTGATTTGCATAGTTCAGATAATATTGTTGAGTGTGATAGTGTATTTCCAAATAGAAAAGGTGAACAGAAGAATCCTCTGCCTATAATTAATATACCTAATTCATTGTCTGCCACACCAGTTACCTCTATATTGGAGAATACATTGAATGAAGCTCAATGGACAAGTACAATTGGTAGAGCAACTACAGTTTCATTGATGACAACAACAACAGCTACCAAGACAACTGCAAGAACAAGTAATACATCTTACATGCGTCCTATATGCCCAGAACGTTATCTGTACAACGATACTAACAATGAGCTGTCTGAATCATCCTGTTCGAAGCCTAAATATTCTTTTGAATTAACACAAGCAAATGTACAAGACATCAGTAGTAGTTGTTGTAATCCTGCAGTTTCATGTAAAAATATTGCAGAAAAAGAACAACACCGTATTTCACAACCTTCACCTATTCAAAATCCTTCATGTATTAGCAGTAGTAATAATCATCAACCGATTAGGATTGCTCCGACTACCTTTAATCCACTTCATGAATCGTATAATTTCAATAAAAATTGTTGTAAAATGCACAATCGAGTTAGTGTTGCATTGTATTAATATTATGTGTTCTCATTTATTATTATTATTATCATTATTATTATTATTTGTTGGAGTTATTTCATATTTTTCCCGTTCATTGATTTATATATATATATATATCGACCAAAATTCTGTGTCTCTGCTGATATGTTGGCTTCTAGTACGGAAGTTTCAACGATGTTTGAAAGTTAAGATGATGATGGTGTTATTTGGTCACTGGTGAGTACTAAAATAGTGGAACACTGTGACATGTCAACTGTGACTAAGGAAGTCCGGTTCAATATATAAATCAAACATTCAGAACACACTATTCAGTGAAGATACTCTTTCCAACGATATGCTCAAAAATGGTCCTCACCCCCCCACCACCTAAATCAGTTAGTAAGACATTTTTTGCTGCTGCAAAACTAGAAATAACCATCCTATAGTAAACTTTTCTCCGTCTCTGTCAAAAGATAAGCTCCCTCGTCTAGCCGCCTTTATGTGAATCTATCAGTTTACCTGCTCTTCTAGAGCAAGGTATATTAACCGTAGCCAGAGAACGCTTTCCACAAAAGTAAGAGAATATATCCCAGTATAGTTTTGCAAGGGGAAAAGGAAGGGTTTGCAAAGCTCTATTCTAGAACACTTGATTGACTTCTGTCTCTTAACCAACCCTGACTATGACTTCAAGATCATCTATCGAATTCATGCGCTAACTTGTCGCGTTTTTTTCGTTCTAAACTTCTGAAGACAGAGGAGACCTGGCCCACCTATGAATTTAAGCCAGACCTTTGTCTGCAAAAGAAGTATGTTCAATCCCTATTTCAGCCCTGGTCGTAAAGCGATAAACATTTATTTATTTATTTATTTATTTATCCTTACTTTTTGTTTATTTTTTAATTTGTTTATTTAGTTAATTTATGCACCTTTCTCTCATTACTCTACGATTATTATTATTGTTACTGTTAATACTCTCACTTTGAAGTGTTTCTGGTAGTATTTCCCTTCTCCCACTTATCATTCTAAATTCTAAACTTTTTTGCAGTCATTGATATAAGAGTAGAACTTGTGCACTGTGATAGAGTATAATTCCATTATGGGTAAATTTTTGTTTTGATAAAGTCTCACAGTGTTACACAGTAATGTTTACTGATGACCATGTTTCGAGCACAGTTTAATGCCACTCATAATCATATGAAGGTACTCACACAATCTTCTAACTTCGTTTATATAATTCCATTATTTTTCAACGCTTGATTTGATTGGTAGTAGTATTCTCCATATTTTCGGTATGAGCGATGAGTCTTGTGTTAGGTGTAGACTCCATGAGCAAAGAATTAGTAATCAACCTCTCTCTCCACCTACTTATATTACTTCTTAGAATCTTAACCCTCTCTCACCCTGTTGTGTGTTAATGCATGCAGTGCAATCGCTGGGCGTTTTTCTAAATTACTTATCTTCTCGGGGTCAACCATTCTTACCTTAGCTAAATTCTTATGTTCTGACAATCTGACTACCCCTGACCTACTAGTTGACTTCACAGTCATTGCATGGTATTTTGTAAATAATATTATTTTGTCTAATTGGGTCAACCGACAGGGTCCTTTAACCTACAGAGCTTGTCCTACCTCAGTGAGTTTGTAGGTTAAAATGCCACCACCCTAATTCCTGCTTTATTGAGAATCCTACGTAGGGTCTCAGATGTCCCCTCATTATATGATATAACAGTGGATGACATATATTCTCTCTTATTTATGCTATCATTACTAGTTTCACAATTATTTTTATTTTGAAGTATTGGTTTTTGTAGGGATTTTGTTTGATTGCATGGAGGATTTAATCATGAGCTGACATCAGTTAGAGAACCACTGGAAAACCTGGGAGTACTGGACAGCCGTTTCGTCCTAGTTTGGGTGCGTACTGCTGAGGAGTCCCAAACTAGGACGAAACGGCTGTCCAGTACTCCCAGGTTTTCCAGTGGTTCTCTAACTGATGTCAGCTCATGATTAAATCCTCCATGCAATTTTTATTTTGCTTTTGGCCTTTTTCGATCTTCCTAATGAATTTTATAGGATAGTTATTTGACACCAACACCTCTTCTATCTGTTTTATTTCATCATTTAGATCTTTTTTTTGTGCTACTGCTTGGTTTTTTAGACACGACTAATCCCGCCTTAACAGTTAACAGATGAGACGAATTAAAGTCTAAATATCTATTAGGGGAATGCTTTAGTTTTTTATCAACACTAGTGTGCAGTTTACCTTCTTCTATTCGTCTTGTTTCACAATCTAACATAGCTAATTCTCTTTGTTCATTTTCCGATTCAAATGTAAATTTTATTCCCTCTACTAGTGAGTTTATATGTGTCAAGAAGCTAGAGAGAGATATGTTCTGTTTTTAGCACTGTAAAAGTGTCATCCACATATCTGCACCACATTTTTGCAGTAGGATTAAATGTATTAAGAAACCTACAGCGGAATTGATACGCAGAATGAAGCCGTCACTGGGTGAGTCTAAATGGTTTAATTTAATGCCTAAAACTAATAATGCTAGTAAAATGTATGGTAATATTAAAATACGTAAACCAGGTTACTCCATACTACCGATAGTAGACTTTAGGAATACCCCTACTTATGAATTATCAAAACACTTAGCTCTAGTATTAGGCCCTATTAGAAATCGTTCACGCTCTAGACTAACTAATTCATATGAGATGAAAAATAAACTAAATGACATTCAACTAGAGAATAATGAAACAATGGTTAGTTTTGATATAACTAGTCTTTATACCAATATACCAGTCAATATGGCTTTGGAGGCAGTTGAAAAAGAACTAACTGCGGATCCTGAACTCGCTTATAGGACGAAGCTACCCATTGAAGAAATTATTCTAGGAATTCAAATATGCCTCATATCTACCATCTTTAAGTTCCAAGGCAAAATGTATAGACAAATAGGTGTAGCAATGGGATGGATCTCCAATGTCCCCTATAGTAGCAGATATTTTTTTTGCAATGTTGAATTCTATCTTATGAAATTTCACACCATGTTATGTAGTGTTTTAGATTTGCCTACTAATCTCATAATTATACACCCCTTCCCAACATCTGCGCATCTTATGAATTACTCTATATATGACGTTATTTGTTTTGCCACTTGACATTGAACTATGATTACAATCACAAACATTTAATTGCATTTCATACTGTTATTATTCTGCTATCGTATAAAATTCATTAGGAAGATCGAAAAAGGCCAAAAGCAAAATAAAAATAATTGTGAAACTAGTAATGATAGCATAAATAAGAGAGAATATATGTCATCCACTGTTATATCATATAATGAGGGGACATCTGAGACCCTACGTAGGATTCTCAATAAAGCAGGAATTAGGGTGGTGGCATTTTAACCTACAAACTCACTGAGGTAGGACAAGCTCTGTAGGTTAAAGGACCCTGTCGGTTGACCCAATTAGACAAAATAATATTATTTACAAAATACCATGCAATGACTGTGAAGTCAACTAGTAGGTCAGGGGTAGTCAGATTGTCAGAACATAAGAATTTAGCTAAGGTAAGAATGGTTGACCCCGAGAAGATAAGTAATTTAGAAAAACGCCCAGCGATTGCACTGCATGCATTAACACACAACAGGGTGAGAGAGGGTTAAGATTCTAAGAAGTAATATAAGTAGGTGGAGAGAGAGGTTGATTACTAATTCTTTGCTCATGGAGTCTACACCCAACACATGCAATAGAAATCACTCAACGCAAATACCAGAGATATGGAAGATATTATTACCGCAAGTCAAATCAGATTAGGATAATAAATAATCTCAAAATTCCATTTCAATTCAAGCACATCATAACATTCTTACAAGTTACTTATTTTGAGTATAAAAGAAACATTCGTCTTATTTCCCATCTGATTGTAATTGATTAATAACACTCATATTATTATTCCTGAATGCACATTATCTTATGGTGATTTTTATTCAAATGTCTAATCATCAGTTTCACGCATGTATATAAATGAAGCAAGAAAGTTGTGTGAGTGAGCAGCTTGATATGATTATGAGCAATAGTTTGTGCTCAAAGCGTCACCAGTTAATATTACTGTGTGATTTATCAAAATAAAATCTTATCCATAATAGAGCTATACTCTACCACCACAGTGCCCAAGTTTTATACTTATATTCACGCCTTTGTTTAAATTTCTTTTACAGAGACGGAAAATGGCTCTCTATCTAGTTTTGCAGCAAAGAACGTTATACTGACTAATTTAGGAGGACGATTGTTGAGCATATCTGAAGCCCTGATTACCTTTGAATTCCTTATATCCTCACAGGATATAATTTCTTAAAAACCATACCTACGTACATACGATTGTACAGTTTGATAATAAATTCGTTGTTGAAAAGAGTCTCTTGGCTGAATATTGTGTTCTGAGTGTTACAATGGGAGTTGTCAAACAAATGAAACACTAGTAATGAGTAAATATAAAAGTAATTAACGGGTTTTGTGAGTGAATATCATTCTTCTTCTGTTTTGTTATTTGCCTCCTTTCAATCGTTTCAGCCAGAAGCTTCTGAATCAATGCATATAATGAAATATAACGATTCGCTGAGAACTGTGAACCAATCGTCTAAGTTACCAGTTATGAGTACTTCACTGATGAATTTAGATACAAAATCAGATGTTACTGTGTGTTGTCCTACATCAATTAGTCGAAATACAATTAATCTCCTCCATGGCGGTAATTATACTCATCGTTCTAGTCCTACTGATTGTTCTGTCAACTGTGAAACAGCTGATCCAATGGATTGTAATCAAGTGAAAGTAACACCTTCAATATCATTCAGTGTATTGACTAATAAACTTGATAGAACAAAAATAGCAAATACTGAAAAAGCACAAAAATCGTACCTTGCTCAAGTGGAACGTATCACTAATATGTAAGTTGTTATTTTTTGAAAGTCTTTATTTGATTGGTTGGTACTCTGTTTAAGTCGGATTACTGTAGACTTATGTGTATCATTGGTGTTGTGACATGACTGTTGGTAATATGACCTAGTGGACTGTGTGTGTGTGTGTGTGTGTGTAATCAATGCAACCTACTCTAAGCTCTAATCACAACCGGACCGAGAGCTGTTACTTTGATGTGGTAGTCGGACTAACATATCCCAATGACCCAACGAGCTCAGAGAGGAATACTGTAACCGATTATATCAGATGTAACAATGTATGACTATTTTAAGGATGTTATTATTATCAACTTCTGTTTTAAACAACTAGAATATTTAAGTTTCTAGACCGCAGATGTTACGAATTTCCTGGAACAAGTTTAGCGTCGAGTCAGATTGATTCATTATAAATTTAGCATTTACTTCGGCAAGCTTGACAGAGTAACATAGAAACCCGTTGAGTTCCTTCACTGTCGAAGGGTCGTTGCTGTTTTTCATATCGTGGAAAACACCCATATGGACATTAGAAAGAAGAGAACACGAAGTTCAGCAAAGATGTTGATCTTTTCGGTGATTTTATTTTCAGCAGTAGCTGTACAATCGCATTTAATACATAATTTTACATGGATACAATTCTTGTTTGATTCCACATAATTACGACGGTGAATAAAAGGTGATAATTATTTTCAACTAGATATGGTTTTTTACGAGAGGCTTATAAACAAAATTACACAGGATTAGAACAGATCACAAGTGTGTATAAAAAATGAGCATGGAAACAAAATTGAAATAATAATTTTCAACTTGAGATGGGAGTTACGAGGAGGTGTGAATATAGATTACAAGAGCTTAAGAAACACAAAAATTGCACAGGATTAAGATATAATTGTAACATAGTTATTTTAAACGAATTATAAATGTGAACAGGAAAAGCATGGAAACAAACTTAAAATAACTGTTTTTATAACGATTGTACAGCTGTTGAAAATGAAATCGCCAAAAAGATATCTTTGCTGAACTTCGTGTTCTCTTCTTTCATTATAAATTATTATTATTATTACTATTGTTATTATTATTCAAAATAATCCCACCATGTTTAAGAAACACTCAAAACAAAATTTTTCTGAACATCTCGCTGTGTAAGTCACAGCTTCTTCAGCAGGATTAAATCATTTTTATAACTAGAATATCGGTTGTAGGGTTTGTTATAGCTTCTTTCTTTAAAATTCCTTCACGTTCCCAGTGGAACATAGGGTTTCAAGCTAGCGGCTTAAAGTTTCGGTAGCAATGGTGTTTACTTTTACAGGGTGTGGTTGCTTGCTTCATGCCCAGCCTTATTACTGGCTTAGCGAGGTAATGGAGGAGCGCGTCAGTGGCCGAGGATTGAACCTCAGACCACATGCTACTCTGCGTGAAAACACCTCACGAGATAGGCTGCTATCCCTCATCTTTAATGCTTATTTAAACTTCTTTCACATACATTTTTGTTTCTTTCTTCTTCTTTTTTTCTCTGTAATGAAATTAGGCTTGCAGAAACTCAAACTCTTCTCCAAGAACGTCCATCTAAATTAAACGAATTAATTAATGGAAATAACAACCACAGTAATACTACTACTAATAATAATAATAATGTTGCTAAAAACAACAACAGTGCTGTTATCCTCAAAGCATAAATCTTATCCCCAACAACTGTGTTTTATTCTAAAAAAATAATAATTACCATTTACTTTTCCTTAACCCTAGATTTGAGTATTTTTCATTATGTCATTATGTCTCTTTTATGGTCTTTCTTTTCCACCCAATCCAAATCCAGTGGATATTCCAGTTTCGCTGACGATATTGTGTTTACTTTTTATTATGGAAATACACAAATGTGCTTTTTTTATTATTTTGGAATCTTTTCCCATTTACACATTAAGAGAGAGAGAGACGAAAAGAAACAAACAGTGTAAATGTTTAACGCGACGCAACGCAACGCACAAACACACATTCCCATTGGACGAGTGTTTGTTGATGTCAAGCTTCGTCTATACTACTACGACACTAAGACTATTATTTGTCATCTTATTTTGATTTTGTTAAACCAATAAGTTTAGTTTCTTGTGCCTTTTCTCTCAACTGAACATTACATATCTTCTTCGTGTGGATGTAATACTACTTTCAAAATGTATTCTTATTATTAGTAGTATTATCGTTATTTCTATTATTCTTATCATTAAAACAATCAAGTAGACTGAAGAGAAACCAAAGTGAAAGCGTCTTCCCCCCCCCGCCCTCCTATTCTCTTTCTTTTTGTTTATCTTAGGCCTTTCTTCAGTGTATCACATTGTAATTTTCATTTATTTTAATTGTCTGATATGACAACAATACACCAGTGACAGTGTATGAGGAACCCGGTTTCAGTTGTTTAATTTCTCCTCTTTTAATAGGAAAAAAAGACTTTATGTTTTGTTTCGTTTTGTTTTTTCTCTCTCCTGCTTCTGTGTTTGTTTATTTATTTCTCTGATCTGATCATCACATCCGATGGTGTCAGTCTCTAATCGACGACGATAATGCTGGCTGGTTATAATGATGATGTGATTGATAACACACAGTGATGATGATTTATATTGACAATATATACTAATTTCTATGTTGCTGTTTTGTTCTTTTCTTTACGGATGGTGGTAGTGGGTTTGTTTGTTTGCTTGTGTAATTTCTATCAGCATGGCCTTGGTGGCTAGGCTTACGACCTAAGAAGCTACACTGATTGGGATGAATATTCTCTGCAGGAGAAAAATCAGTCACTGTCATATTAAGATGTTAACACTGTTGGCTGGACACTAGTTAATACCTAGTGTAATGTGTGCCTTGTCCTTTTGTCTACTGCTGACTACTTAATTCTATCAGTCAAGTTTGCAATATGACCATTTATGCCACTAGATGGCTGGTCATCATGTGCACTTTGAATTGTTGATATTAGATGGTTGAAGGCAATTGGCCACAGGAAGAGCCCAACCTTGGATCTAGGTTTTATGCTAGTTGGTACTCATCAGTCAGGAAGGCGTATCTGTAACCATCAAGGAGCCCATGTCCTTTCTGAGATTCAAATCCGTGTCACCCAGTGCTGCAGTCAGTGAAAGACGTTATCATTGAGCTATTTAGGCTCTCGATTGACCTCCTGTAGGACTGTAGTGGATAATTTTTTGATTGGACATTAGTTAGTAACTAATGTAGTGTTTCCGAATAGCTCAGTTCAAATCTCAGAAAGGATATAAGTTCCTTCAAGGTTGCAGATACGCCTTGGTGACTGGTGAGTACCGACGAGCATATGAAACTTAGGTCAGGCGAGGCGTCCTGTGGCCGATTACCTCCAACCATCGAATAACCACAGATCTTAGTTCTCTGAATAATCACAATGTCGGTCTTTTAATTGAAGTAACTGTCCATAATGATGTCACGAAGTGTGTGACTGTTTAATATTCAATGCTGTATGTCACAGTTCTAATGAATCACATTAAATAAGGCTATATCTTCAACACTGATATTGTTTTCCATAAAAGTGTAGCAATTTCCATCACTAGTAGTACTGTAACTAAGAAAAGACCGATGAGGCTCACAGTAATGTTTACTAAGACAAACCTATTGTAAATACATAAATTTGGTACACCATATCCTGAATGCTTTATTTGCACATCATTTGCAAATTGGTTGAATATCGCTACGTTCAATAGCTTGTTGGATTCCGCACAGTGTTTCTAACGTTCTTCTCAGAGTTCTGTTCTTCGATTGTTTTTTCCAGTATCTGAAAAATACTGTAGCTTTTCTGAATTCGTTAACCAATATACTACTTATATCTGATTATAAGTAAAACTCACCATATTACCTCATTCAACGTCTACAGTTAAGAGCGTCTGCATAGAAATAAGTTTTAGCGAAGATTTATTTTTTATGTATGATTATCTGATAATTCATAAGATGTTGATTTCATCAACTTCCAATGCTAATGGAGACCTCAGCGTATCAATCAGTCCTATAGGAAGTCAATCGGCAGTCTGAATAACACAGTGATGACGTGCTTTACAGCAGCGTTGGTTGACGCGGATTCGAATCTCCGAATTGATATCAGTTCCTTTGAAGTTGTAGATATACCCTGTTGACGAGTGACAGCAAGCACGAAAGCTTAGTCTAATGCTTCTTGTTGTCGACTGCCTCCAGCCATGTAATATTTTAACACTGTGTTGAGGGGTCTGAGGGTTTAACAGGTACAAGATTTTTCCATCAGAAAACCAGCCAACCTGCTGTGCTGCCCTACTAGCTCTAGGGAGTTGTGGGATTAGAGAAAGTCGACACTTAAAATTGTACATTCTCACATATCCACGACTGCTTGTAACTAGTGGCGAGATCTTCATGCGAACACAACCTCAATTAAGTTCTAAATGTGGTGCCAAAACTATATGAAATGACATTTTACTATAGGATACTATAATTTAGTTGCTAAAGAATTTTGTACTTGAGTTTTGCGTTTGTTGGTGCAGCTAACAATCAATTGCATCTGTAAACCTTAAGTCTTGATTGGCGCAGTTTCAGATGTCGTAGAATGTACTAAATCACTTAGATTACAACTTATTTCTCTTGGACTGAAAGATGTAGAATATATTGATCCTCTGCTGGGTGATAATTTTTGTTCAATGATAGGATATTGTATAGGCACATATCGTATCAGAAATTCATATATCCTTGTCAATAATTACGTGGATTTCATACTTCATTGAAAATTTTGCTTCAGTCTTTTTAAAATATGTAACGTTTGTATAATTTAACCTACTCTGGTATGGCATCCTACTACATGTATGAAGGCAAATGCTGAAACAGAGAGGACAGTCGGTTATTCTATGCAAACATACTATAGGCATATGGGGGGGATATCCGTTTGTACTTGGTAGATCACGAATATTACCGACTTCTTCGTTCAGTGTCTCATTTCAGCAGATAATTCTAGCCCGGCGAACCAGATGGTTAAATGTCTTAATTTCATTTCCCACCCCCTCCCCATCCTATACGTAAAACTGATTAACTTAAACAACCACTTGATTGGTAAAGACATTTTGATGTAGAGTCAGCCGATGATAAGGAACTACTAATTGAAACGGAATGCATATTGCTTCACTCAATCTGTTATTAGTTTTTTCTCTAAATGCGTAAAATAGGAATTTAGAAAAAGAAAGGTGTAGAACGTTTTCAGAATTGCCATCATAAGTGTCCCTATTGTGATGTGTGTGTGTGTGTGTGCTACTTAGTAGATTTTGTAAGTAACATATTAGCGATGTCTTCTGTAGGAATGTTGAATAATAGATTTTAAAATGACAAAGAGAAGCAATGAAGATGATTATGAAACCAGATGGAAAATATGAAATGAAGATTTAAAAAAAAAGGCAGATTGCGAATAACTTTTTCCTATTAGCATTTCAATGTAAGGCTTTAATATTTTCGTGAAATATATCCATTACTTCATATGGAAAATCGCAGTTTTTTTGGTTCAGCGAAGAAATATTTCCTTCTTTTCAACGACTTCATTTTCAAGCAACTGTACAGTCGTATTTATAATATTTATGGGAAAAGAATGCATTAAGTGGCACTAGAAATCGCTCAGTCAATATTGCACATTTGATGACAATAAAGATAATTAAAATGGTATACTAAAGGGGTAGAGTTGAAGTGGATGAATTACAAAACTTTTAAAGATTATTACATAGGTGAACTGGTATAAAAATTTAAAAATTGTAGGTTGAGTGTTGTCTAAAAAAAATAACACTACAATGATGATAACAACAAAGACGGTGATGTGGAATGAATCCAAGTGGTAAAATAGAATAAAATGAAAGAGCATCACTATAACCAATGTAAAGAAAGGCGTTTGACAAAACATTTTTGAATAAATAATTTAGGTTTTTATCCATGTTTTGCTAGAGCTTCGGCTAGCTATGCATAAGTGGAGAAAACATAAGCCTTCGGAGTGATTGGATTTAGTCGTGTAGATGACTTTGAAGGATACATCACGTGTGGGGGGCTGAATGACCTCGCTCTGGAATACATATTGTGCAAAATTTTCAGCACAGTTTATTGCATGATATTTTCGCTTCATCCAGGCAGGATGTTCAAATCAAATATCACGTGATGGTGGACCAAGTGAAACACTTCTATCTGACATGAGGTGTATATCAAGAAATTATGATGTCTCTCCTTTGACTTCTTCGGCAAATCTGTGTTTGGTGGTAATTTGGTTGAATGGCAATTAGAAATGTTTCAGGAATCCATTCTGTGAACCAAATATGCAACTCAAGAACCCAGCTATCTATCTCTTGCATTGCAATACACCCTAACCGACGACTTAGTTTACTTTTCACTCACGATAACTAGAAACTTGCGAATCAGCAGGTTGTAAACACACTAAATACTCGCCAGAGTATAAAACATAATTCAAGGTTATATTTTTATCAGATTTAAACAAACTGAGTGGGAGAAAATATCTCTGAAATCCTGATGGGATTTTTCCGTAGTCCAAATTTAAGCAGACCGCCAATAAACACAGCTAAGAGGTAGCAGAACGAGTTTTTAGTTATCTAAGAGAAACACCTTACTGCTGTTACACACTCCTATACGCTCACAGACCTTTCAATATAGTATAAATGACTTACTTACTTACTTACACATTATTATGACTGATTACCAACCAGGAACCCAAAATTACTAAAAGCCAAGTAGTTTCTTTACTGACTAAGTCACATTTCCACTTGAAATTGAGTATCCTCCCCGCGCCCCCCCCCCACCAAAAAAAGAGGCGTAAACTTCTTCTCCTATAAATCAAAAAGTCCAGCGTTTTCAAACTAGTTTTCTTTCATTTTATGTTGTGTTGTATACGAAATGAAATAAATAAAACACAGTTTTAAAAGCCTGAAAACACATGGATAGACGGAAAGATGCATGTGTGTGAATAGATGAAATAAAGCTGTCCGGCAGACATTTAATCATATCAATGTAAAAAAAAGTCTTAGATTTATCTTCGTTTTTTTGATTGTAAATTCGATTTAAGTAATGATGAGAAATGACAATAACAATAATAACAGTATGCATTAAAGTGTAATTGTTCTCATTGATCTTCTTTGCTTAGTTGAATAAATAAATTTTAAAAAAAAAAGCGAAATCACGATCAACAACAGCAGAACGAGAGAAAATAATGTGAAAAGAAACCAAATAGACAAAATGAAAATAAGTACAACCACTATATACTATATATATAATTAAAAATCAAAACAAAATCTGTTTTGTTGTATTAATGCACCATAATTGAGAGACAAAAGAGACGGGAGTGTGTTAAAGCGAATGAAAGGCAGTGAAATATAAAGCAGAAAAATACATACACACATACATGTATACATTCTCGTATTTGTATGAATGTATTAGATAGATAAGATTAGTCAAGTGTTACATGTAACGGTGAAATCAAATTTGCGCGCGCACACGCACACTCACACATTCAAACAAAATAAAAAAAATTAATTTACACAAAAATTAAATTTCTTTTCACAACATAAATGCAATAGTAGTTTCATGCTTTTTCCCTTGTTATTATAATTAATATTTCTGATAGTTCATTAAAGATTCAAATATAAATATGGCGCTTTGTCTGTTGTCATGTCACTTCAGATAAACAAATCAAACCAAACAAGTGAATAAATATACTGAACATGTCAATAATAAAGTGTTGTTACAGTTTACCGCATAAATTTAAGCAAGATGACATTTTATTAAATTTATAACGTGAGAATAACTTTTGTGGATAAATTACAGAACATCCATAATTATGAGCACAGACAATACCACCGCGTAGTTTATGAATTGAAGCAGCTATTGATGATGAAGATTTTGTAAACAATTTCGACTTGTTATTCTCGTCATTATTATGGTGATTGGTATTATTATTATTATGATTACCATTACTATTCATATTGTTATTATAGTCTGTAGGTGACAGTTGACGACTAGTTAAAGAATAATAAGCCCATTGACTAGTATTCATGTCATCATTATACACTGGTTGGATAGCCATAATTTGACATTTTTTTGCTTGATGACTGACAATTTGAAAAGTGAGACGTTGAACACAAATAGCTTTTTCTATTTTTGTTATCCAATACAAATCATAATTGGATTGATCTAACAAAATAATTCGATTATCTGATGTGTATATGATGTGCCCTGGAACAATACCAAATGAAACACTCGGTGTAAAATGAAAGTAGCTATCTACTTCAATGTCTAAAATTAATACTTTATCTTCTGTCGGACATGTAGCCCATACACTTTGTTCATTTTTAGCATAACATAAAAAGTAGGGTGATAATTGTGGATCATTTAAATACCATGTACGATCTATTCGAGTTAAATCATTACATTTTAAACGACAAATCATTGCATTCGCTGGTTGAGCAATATAAATATCACCATTTGAATGATCAATATCTATCCCGAAGATAATTGGTTGATTTTGTCTTTCTAAGCCAACAGAATCACGATAAAATAAACTGGATGTGGCTATAATTGGGAATGGATTCGATGTAGGCTGCTGATGGTTGTGCTGTTGCTGTGGATTCGATTCATGGTTATCTTTATGATTATTGGAACCATTCGTTGAAGGGTTAGTAGTAGTAGTAGTAGTAGTAGTAGTAGTACTGGCAGTAGTGTTACGATGCATGTCATCAGAAATTGTACAACATACAAGAATACCAAACTCTGATCTTTCTATATCATCATCACCGTTACCATTCTCACCTTCAGTAGATGCATTCGATGTATTCAGCGTAATAATTCCACTCAAATAGATAAGTGAACCATAAAAGCGTAAAAATTGAATTTTTATAGGATTTGAATTATCCACAATTATTTGACTACTAATTTGATTTAGCCCATGTTTACTATGATGATTATGATGATGACTGGATGATGAATGATGCAAGCTGAATAGATCATTATCCAAGTGTAATTGTTGTCGCCACAGGACTAATTCATCACGATTTGTATTTGTTGTCAGGGTACATCTCTGTAGGCTTGAATTCTCTCCTCCACCACTATTACTTGGTGGTAATATTTGCATATCAATCGGCTGATAGCTTTCACCAGGTCGCATAATACAACAATCTTTACCTTTACTGAGAACATGAAATTTTGAATTACGCTCCATCATGATACGTAGACCTTCAGCATCACGATATAATACATAAGATGGATTATCCAGCTGAACAAAATCACTAGATACTGAAGTAAGCGTTATCCTGCGGATACGTGATGCTGCAGCATAAAATCTGCCTAAATGACGTATTGAATTTGTTGGTGAAATAGTCGATGGTGTACTAGACCTTGGATTACTTTGATTACTAGTAATGCTTGTATTTACAGTTGGATTATTATTATTGGCGGTGAGTGGTGACAATCCACCATTACAAGCATTACCATTACTACTGTTATGAGTAGTATTCACATTTTTCTCTAATGAATTTGATATATTCACATTTAACGGATGATGATGGGGATTCAAAGTGGACATTGGTGAAGATGTATCAACACCTGGTTGTAAATTCACCAAAAGTTTATTCACTTCATCCATGATAACAGCTCGATCTAAGGCATTCATTCGTCCAGCTCTTTGTTTCGAGGCAATATCATCGACGATGTAGTTCAACATTCTAGAACTAACTTGTATTGAAGTTTTACGACCTGATGGTGGTGTTTTATTCATTGGATCAGTTGATGTACCCGTCGTCTCATTACTATCATTATTATTATTATTCATACGTGAAACGAAACTATTGATATGATTATTTTTTAAAAATTCTAAAATTGCTTTATGATTAAAAGCACTTGGAAATGAATCCGCTTTACGTGTCACTGGAATAGGGCATAATGCTCGACATATTGGACACGGGAAAGCGTTCCCACTTTCTTTTAAATCATTACTATGGTTAGCAGTATATGAGTTATGATTATTATTATTATTTGTAATATTATTATGATGACCATGCGCTGAATTCACTGAATTCCCATGATTTGATGATGGAAGCTTTTCCATATAATTATTTAAACATTTACAACAGAATGCATGACCACATGGTAATAATCTTGGATCATCTAGAAAATTTAAATCAATTGGACAAGTGACCATATCTTCTAATGGTTCTAGCACAGAAGAACTTGAACGTCTACATTTTTGAATCTAATGTGAATTTATTGGGATAGAAAGAAGAAAAACAGGAAGTTGAGGTGTATATGAATTCATGACATAAAATTACCAATCATGATATAATATAAAGTGTTTCATGTAATTTCAGAAGAAGCATCAAAGATAGGACTTCAGGTGAACATAGAGAAAAACAGAGGTAATGAAGATTCCTGGCCAACACCGACAGACAACAATCAGCATAAATGGGAAGAATCTGAAAGAAACAACCTCCTTCACCTACCTGGGAAGCATCGTTTCAACTACAGACGGAACTGACGAGGATATCAAAGCCAGAATAGGAAAAGCAAGACGAGCTTTCATTACTTTCAAGTCTGTGTGGAGGTCAACAGCACTCACCATCATAAATAAGATCCGGATTTTCAACTCCAATGTGAAGTCAGTCAGTGCTACTATACGGATCAGAGACTTGGAGCGTCATAAAGATCACCTCAAACAAACTACAGACCTTCGTTAACAGTTGTCTTCGCTCAAGATGGCCAGTCAGAAAAGATCAGCAACAGGGATCTCTGGAAATGAGCGAACCAACCAAGAACCGATTGTGAAACAAATAGGCAGGAAGAAATGGAGATGGATCGGCCATACTCGGAGGAAACCATCAAGTGACATCACTAGACAAGCCATGGCTCGAGTGGAACCCGGAAGGGAAGCGGCGAGTTGGTCATCAGTGCAAGGGTGACTTGGATGAGGTGATGTGAAGAGGAGGTGAAAGCATGTGTGCAGACTTAGAGCGGGGTGAAAATGTTGGCAGAAAACCAAACGCAATGGAGACGCGCGGCTGAAGCCCTATGTTCCTCTAGGAATTAAAGGAAATAATAATAATAATAATGTAATTCTACAATATAATCTTGTAGATGCATGAAGCAGTATACTATTTTTTATTTTTTGATTACAGCTTGATTCCACACCGTATTTTTGGTACAAGTAGGGAATTTTCAGCGTGGATATCGGTAGCCCGACCATAGATATCAAGTGTGCGTCGGCGTGGGCTTGAACCTCGGTCTATGTGCATGGTCAGCGAGAGTCCTAACCACTGTGCCACCGACACACACACTACTGACTGTGATTGAAATAAGTAGTTCTGTACTACTCGCATAAACACTAGTAGTGCTTCCTAGGCAGATTGAGGTAACCTAAATAAACACTAGATGGCCATTTTACTACCTCGTTTCAGTTTGAGTTCATTAACACTGAAAACAGTTTTAACAAAAAGAAAATACCCCTTTGACGAAAGCTTTTCTGTAAGAAAAAACGCTGTTACTATTAAACTATTGTGAATGAATCATACTGCGGTGAGGTCCAGCTACAAGCCAAGATTGTAGACAACAATTTTTCGTTAATGTTCACGTCCCGAATCAGGGTCATGAGAAAGACAATAATAAAACTTGACCTTGAAGAACTCAGTAGCCAATCACAGCGGGGTTAAGGTGTGGAAATGGGGTTCGCAGATATATGGCTTGATTTTCTGAGAAACTGCAACGAAGAGATAACAGAAATAACCCTCAGCAAGAAAACAACCAATCAGAAGAGGTTGCTTCTCTGCTGACAGTGATGTATATAAAATATATATAAATATCTCTTCATTTTCTGAATAAATGATCTGTTGCCTGGCCCTTGTCTTCTGTCACTAGAATTCGGTTCTCTGAGCTGAGTCGAAATGAGTAGGTCGGGCGATGAGCTCATCTGCAAATCATTGAAACAGTTATTGGGTGGTTACAGCCACTTCCACCTGACTAGGCAACACTACTGGTTCGTATGAGGAGAGTTGAACTACTCACGTTACAGAATCAGTAGTATATAACGCCATGTATTTATGCCTGATTTATGGTATCAAGTAGATCACATGTTCGGATCTGAATAATTCGGTTTCCAAAGGAAACTAGTGAAATTTCACCTGAAACGGTGTGATTTTCAAATTATGAATTTTGATTTAAATATATTCTCATATTGTACTTTTGGTACAATCACATTGTGTTAGTAGACCGAGAACTTGTCAATTACTTCAACACTGCAGTGTATCTCAAGTCTTTGTCAACCTCATTCAACGGCTGGCTATGTGACAGTGTCACGTGCCAGGTGATTCACAACGGAAAACTCAGTGAGGCTTTCGAAGTGAATAGAGGAGTAAGACAAGGTTGACTGCCTATTATCACCGATGATATATTCTTAATTCTTCTTCTTCTTCTTTAGTTCGGCTATCTCCTACGGGAGGATGAACCGGCTTCATGAACATCTCGAATGTTTGTAAGAGAGTTGATGAAGTTTCATGGGAATTGGGTACGAGTGATGTCCCCAGCATCGCTCGGCCTTTTGTTTGAGAGTGCAGCTCTAGCCTTTACACAGCCAAGTGTGACCTACAAGGCAGTAGGAGTGGAGTAGGGAGTCCACTATCCATTGGCAGCCGGTGACCGGTTCATACGCCTTTTTGAATGGGGCCAGACATCCAATAAGCTCTTTGTCCATACGTCTGCCGGTGAACTCCGGTGAGCTTCATACGCCAGTCGTTGGAGGTTTGGAATCAGGGTTTAGCCATCTCCCCTAGACTGTCATCCAATGGACAGTCAACCCGGTGAAGAGCGCCGGGCATCCGCTTTTGCCCTCTCACTTCGGTGAAAAACACCTCCGCCACGTGAAGGCAGTGAGTAGGACTTCCTCAGGAGAGGCTATGTAAGACGCACGGTCATATGGGAGCATTTCAAGAGGTGTACGGAGGGGTGGCTAGCCCGCAGCGCAAGACACCCACCCCCGACCATCCTGAGGCTTTGGAGGCTTAATTGTGGTGGACTAGATTATGCGTCAGACTTTGGGGAGCGAGGAGAAAGGAATACTTCAGACCACAGATAAGATTCTAGAAGATCTGGATTTCGCAGATGATATATGTTAAGTGTGATACAAACTCGAAGACTTGCAAGCGAAAACCAACAAACTGGTTGAAATGACTGGCAGCGAAGACAGGACTTCAAGTTGACAGCACAAATCACTATCAATGGGAGAGATTTAATAGAAGTTACTTCCTTCACTTATACGGCTAAAAGCAGGCTTTCAACTACAGGCGGAACGGACGAAGATGTCAAAGTCAGAATTGGAAAGGCAAGATACGCCTTCATCACCCTGAAACCAGTTTGGAAATCTTCCGCACTCAGCATAAGGAACAAGATACGCATTTTCAACACCAATGTGAAGTCGATTCTTCTATACGGGTAAAAAACTTGCACTGCGTGTCACGAAAAGGATTTCAAACAGGCTACTGAAGACTTTCACCAACAGCTGCTTTCGCTCCATACTGAAGATCAAATGTCCAGAAAGAATGAGCAGCAAAAAACTATGCGAACAAACCAATCGCTCAACATATATGTAGGAGAAAGTGGGGGTGGATCGAGTATACATTGAGGAGGCAGCCGGATGACATCGCACGCCAGGCCCTCGAATGGAATCCTGTTGGGAAGCAACGAGTGGGTCGTTCTTGTGATGGTGACATGGAGGAGATCGTGCGAGAAAGAGATGAGAGAGTTTGGTCAATCGTGGACCCAGATGAAGAGGACGGTAGAAAATAGAACAAAGTGGAGATGTGCTGTTGAAGCCCTATGTCCCACTGGGAACGCAAGGGAATAATAAATAAAAATAAAACATAGAGTGTAACGAAATCGTAATGATAAGTGATTGCTCTTCATATCGTACAATGCTTGCAACTGACTGAAGCCATATCAGTTTGGATAAACTTTTGGCGAGTAAATATGTGAATGAAGAATCTCTATACGTCTTTCCAACATCAGAATGCATCGTTAAATTGAGTCACTTATGACAGACAAGATATCTGATTGATTATACATCAGTTCTTTCTGTAGACCACGGTCAGAAACTAATTTATGCAGTGGTTCCGTAGTACTACCACCACCCGTGTTTGGTAGAAATTAAGTATTTAATTTAGGTAAGACAGGCAAGTAGATCAAGAAACGTACAAATCTTTATTACCTTAATTATGCATTACATATGTTTTTGTCGTCGTTTTGCGCTCTGAATGGAATATAGGGACTCAGGTTTGAGCTTTGACGTCTCATCATTTCAATCTTCCCTCAGCTAGTAAACTAAGCAAGGCTTAAGAATACGTCGGCCGGGAATCGAACATGGGCTTTGTGCTTAGTTGGTGAGCATTCTACCACCACTAAACTATCGACGAACAAACACTATTAGGATTGGGCGCATATAATATACATAGCATACAGCCCCCTCTTTCGAACACTGAACACAGTAATTGGGCGGTATACTATCCCATAACCTTTGGCAGATCCAGCAACAAAAAGTCATGGAAACAATGTCAGAACGTGTGACAGACTTGGTGCCCCCTGGAACAAAGCGTTATACACTGGCTCACATATATTTATCCAAAGTCTATCTCAGCGTTCTATGTTAACAAGAGTAGGATAAGGTAATAAAAAACAGAAGGGTAATGAAACCACGACAAGTTTGGACTGCTTGGCAAGGATTCATGTGACCAGTATTGTGTTTATTTTCCCTACCTCATATTCTTTTGCCATATGACACTCCATAACTGGAGAAGCAGTACACAATAATTCAAGATCTCTTTAATATTTACTGTCAATGATTCCGAATATCCTTTGCAACTTTTAAACATACTCATTTACATAAATCAGAAAAGAGAAGGGACTTGACAAGTTTGTGTCTCACTTCACTGGCTGACTGACAAGACTAAAACCACATACGTTTTTATATCATACCACCAACTTGCTGAAAGACCGTTCAGTGTATACATCAGTCAGTGGTTAACTTTGAAAGAAGAATAGTTGAATTTACAAGGTTTTTAAGCCCCATTTTCTCGAGACAAAATATTTTATCATCTGATATTTTTTAATCTCACTATTCCAATCTCAGCATCGGTCGCGCAGAGGTAGGATCCTCGCCAGCCACTCAGGTGGTCCGGGGTCCGATCCCCAGTCACAGACGCACTTCTGAACCTCGTTTAGCTTGTAATAAGCCAGGCAAAGAGGGAAGGTTGCGAGTGAGACTAACAACCCCATCCCGTAGAAATAAACACCACTGTCACCGAAACTTCAAAGCTCTAGCTTGAAGCGCAGTGTTCCACTGGGAACATTGAGAAATTAAATAAATAACAATAAACTCGAATCTACACACTACTAATGTGCAAATTATGGGTTTTGTTGGCATGAAGATTAATTTCAGCGTAAATTTCGTCATGAAGCAACTTCAGTTAGGTAAATTTTGAAAACCACAGAGCATAGGACAGCTGAAGAGTCCCTACCTGGAACAGAATAGTTGTCCAGTACTCTTCCCTGGCGGTTTTCAATGGTTCTCTAACTGAATTTACTTCATGATTAGACTTAAAATCAATCAAATCTCTACAAAGCAACACGTGAAAACAAAAACAAAAAAATCTGTTCACTGATGTTTACATGATCACATGATTTCGTGGTGGTATGGATAAAATAGTCGTTTTTGAGGGACTGTGAATGTATATATTAGATTCATTGAACTAACTTCAAGGATTAAGCTGATAAAGCTTCAAAGTAAAACGAAACAGATGGCGACTATATGAAATATCCCTTTCTTGAAGTCGCCGCCACCTTTATCCGATGGGTAGTAAGGTATTTCAATAAATACGCCAAAACATATATCAACCAGTATGATTTCATCAAAATTCAAATAATATACGTTTAACTCTTGAGCCTACTGACTTCTTAAATCCACTAAATTGCACAGATCTCAGTATCAAGTAACATTTTCTCATAAAAGTGCGGGAAATGTAACACAGTTTAAGAATATAATGCCACTAATAGACAATTTGTACACCAAAAAAATTCCTAATGTTGAATTTCACTTAAAAAACATACAAAAACCACAACTTGTCATTAAACCACCAAAGCAACGGACTGCAATGTTACAATCAACGAGGATATGCAATAAAGCCACTCCAAAACAGGAATCTATTTACTCTCTTATCCGTGATTCTGTAATTAGTACTGATCTTTAACGGAGCCTACTTTGAAAAAATAAGCTCTTTATTAAGCAGGTTATCTATATCTAAGGCAATCCCAAGTTAGTAGAGAAAGAAAAACGGGGAAATCTAAAAACAAATATGATGACAACCAAAAGAAGAAGAAAAAATACTTTATTTCAAAATTAAGAGAATTGAAAAAGAATTTATTTTTCCCTCTTCTTTTTCAACCTTGATCACGTTGATTTAAACTATTGATTTTCAACACACACAAAAAAAGTCATGTGATGATTGTACTTTTACTTAAACAACAAATGACCTTAAGATGAACTCAGTGTACGCATGCATACATACATATACTTTAAATAATTATTGATTGGTAGATGAATGAATGTCATCTATCTATTTTCGTTGTTATTGCTTCTGTTATTATTATTATTACCCCTCTTATATGTGGAGAATAATTTTTTTCTTCTGATCGATATTAAATTGTTGACAAAAGTAAAAAAAAATATTTTTCTTTTACTCTGTAGTGATTGGCCCATGAATTCTAACTTTTATCAATTCGCGATTTTTAACACGACCACTTGCTACAGGATGGAGTTTCCTGGAGTTCTAGTGAGAAGTTGTGACCAATAAGGTGCATCCAGTCAGGAGAGTAGGGATGAACTTCCCACCGATGACATTGGGTAGTGGTCACGCTAAAAATCACGAATTGGTAGAAGTTATAATTCATGGGCTGGCCATTGAGTTGGGTCCCATTGGCTGAATGGTAAACGAACTTGTTTTGAGACCGGAATGTCCTGGGTCCCAACCCCTGTGATGAGTGCGTACGACCGATGATTCCCAAACTAGGATGAAACAGCTATACAGTACTCCAGTGC